CTTAGACCATTCCTCTGTTATCGCTGCTGTATAGACATCTGTGGTTGTATTTAAGTCACTATAGGCCTGTTGATGTAGGCTCCTGTGTGCCCCGACATCGCTCAGTCTTGGCCTTCTGCAATCACTCATATAAAGACCCAGGCTGTTATTATTAACCAAAGTTATTTGGGCACAGCACTGATGCCAAGCAAAATGGGCCAGATCTTGCATAATGGGTCTGCACTTTGTTAAATATGGTAATAGGAGAATGTGTGGTATTTAATGGGGAAAGGCAACAGAAATGTGTGTTTGAAGTGTATCCAAAGCAAAGTTATATTCCATTTTAACTTGTTATGTGAGGAACAACTATAAACTAATTCATGAATATGTGAAACAGACTTCTACCCTGACAATATTCGACCCAGGTTAAACGTTTTCCGCAGACCACAACATACACGAGAAAATCAAAAACTGGATTAAACTGACAACCACATTGTAAAATATAACTTTGGGAGCTGTATACAAAAAAGCCTTTTCTAAACATAAGACAAAATTGGACAGAATTCCAAACTAAACATTAAGATCAAAGAGTTTGTATGTTGAATTGAAATGGGTGTCGTGACTGGATTAAGCGTTGTAATGTATGTAGTATGCATGTTCTCTAAATCCCGTGACATACAGTAAATCTTTGGCACTCTATGATTACATGCACATTACATTTGTTTTCATGCCAAAAGACAAAATTCAAAAGTAAGCTGAAAGTGCTGAGCCTGTCTTCCATCAGCGCTAATCCATCCATACTGACTAAAAATGAACATAAAACGTCTTTGGTTCAACCAGATTCGTGCTACATCACGATTTGGCCTGTCACTGTACATTCCTGGTTGTTTTAAAGAAATACAGGGCTGCATGGAGTGGTTTGAGGGGTAATTATTGTTGCTAGACAGTGTGACAGTCAAGCGGACACAATATGCTATTATATTGTATGTGATCATGCTGCACTCCGCAATTTACTCTCACCATTTTTTCTGGTCAGAAAGCTGCATACCATGGAAATAGGGGGTAAACAAGTTGGACACCAGAATCAAACGAGCACAAACTAACAAGAATTAGTCCATACCCTTCGTCTTGGGCCATTTTGACCGATCCCGATTTCTAAATTCGTAATACTTCAATTAAAAACAAGCTAATGGCAACATTTGTATCACTTGTTTATCAAAAGGGTGACATCACATGAGTGAGTAAATGTTCAGTATGCTGTTTGTCCAGCTCATGCACTTTGTCCTTGAACATACTTTTATCTTAAAACAAGTTTCGCCAATGGGACAAGCTAAATAATCCTGTTTTAAAAAGATACAAGAAAACTCTCCCTAATGAGAAAACAAAGCCACAGTTCATGAAAACTAAATCAAAACTAAATTGCATGACCCATCTGCAAATCTTGTTTTAAGACATTCAAAATGTACTCAAATCAAGATAAAAAAACACTCGATACAAGCAATTAAGAACTCATATTGTATAATTTTTTGCAGTTAAAGCAACAATCAGTTACCCAAACTGAGAAGAGGCACTGGTTAGACCCGCCCACAGCTTCCTGATTGGATGAAATTAACTCAAACTCATCATTGGTTGCACTGTTCTCCTTCAGGAAATCTTACTGGTCATAGTTATTCTCATGCAAGGGCTGTTTTGAATATGGTATTGTTGAAAATGACAAATTACAATAAGTCATTTTAAGTCACAAATGCACTAGGACTAAAAACCTGCACTACTATTGCCACTGTTTCTTTAATTGTCACTTTTTATTGTACATAATATATCCTGCCCAGACTATATTTTTTGCCTTTAACATGTTTGCACACTTCTGTCTTTTGCACAAATCTGAGTGATTCTATCTATGCCAAATCTGACAAGTAAATTTCTCCAGTGCGTGAGATCTTATCTCATCTTATACTTTTCTTCAGAAATATTTTTTTTTAATTTGCATTTCTGACCAAAGGACAGAAATGTGGTACAGTGTCCTTTGGTCAGAAATAAAAAATAAAAAAATAGGAAGAAAAGAACTATTGTCTTTAACAAATGTCAACTTTTTAAAATGTCATCTTGACATAATCTCACGACCCAGAGCTCAGAGAGACACCCGCCTTAGGGAACTGCCCTCGTGACATTTTGTTGACATTTTTAATATTAACTCAAATTCAGCTTGGGTTCATTATGAAACAGGCACATCATATTATGCTCTTACAAGTTACTAAATCATTCCAGCTTTTATCAACGAGATTCAGGTTTAAACACTGCAGCTTGGATATGTCCGGCACTTAGCAGCACTTTGCCAACACATGCTGCTATATACATTCCTCACAACATAAATAAATGTAACGTCAAAACAAGTGAAGATGTGTGAATACATCATGGAGGGGCCATATTTGGAAAAGCTTCGTGACACTCTCGAGAATGTAAAGGGAGAAACCATTGGACACTGGGGACAAGAGCCATAACAAAAGAGCTTTTATGGTCTCTGTCTTCTAATCCATAAATCTCCAGCCACATTTTTTCCCTCACCTGAACAGAAGCCTTTTTTGCCCAAACAAAGTATGGACTGAAATGCTTATATGCCCTGTCATTGTAAAGGATAAAGACAGGAAAATACAATACTTAGCACTAGTTGTACAATCATTTAGCTGTAACTGGAACATTTTGAAATTACTGTCTTCCAAATGTATAATTGCAACTTTAAATCTGTAGGATTTTATGTTTACTCTTTTAAAATGCATTGTGGCTATTTTATCTTAATTACTTGAGATTTTATTTTGTATTTCTTGTGTTTTTTTAATGTATATGTAGATTTTAATGTTTAGGATTTGCTTGATATGATGTGGGTTTTGAGCATAGACGGTAAATATTAACAGACGTAGTCACGCCTATCTCCGCCGTTCAAACAAACGGGCCAAAAATTCTGCTGTACTGGAGCTATCCAAAATGGCCGCGAGTGGTCCCGCCCACAAGAAATTTGTGAAAAAACGCATCCGCGCATGCGTCAGCCGGCGAGAGCTCCATTCATTTGAACGAGCAACTAAACTAAAGTGGTCCAAAAAAATTAACTCCCCTCAGCATTGACACACATGTGGAACGGAGCTTTGGTCCAAAAGCATCCTGTAAAGACGTTTTTGAGAGGTAAGCAGATAATATATGTTAGCATTGGCTAATTCTTATTCCGGGTCCACCCCCATCGGCCCGGGGTGGTATTTCAAGCATGTCAGCGCATGTCATTTTGGCGACTTTTGAGCCTGGACCCGCCCCCACTGGTTGTGAGCCGCTTTGCCTTGTGTAGTGAAGGCGCTATACAATTGATTGATCTATAGTAAAACTTGGATTCCAAAAACACATAGCTGCCCTCTGCCTGTTAACCTCTGTCTCTTGTGCTTTAGAGATTCCTTCAATAGAAAATAAATAGAGGATTGTCCAAATTAATTAGAACATTATTATTTATCTTCCTGGAGAGTCAATGATTATATCCACTGTATCTGCTTTTTCTGAAGACCTAATCTTTTCTTTCATTCCAATGGCATGAACCCCAAATACCTGTAGCTAATTTTAGCATTTAAAACATCTCCTGTTACGAGCCATGGGGCGCAGCACACTTTTCTCAAACACAAACCCCTCCCCATGTTATTCTTTTCATTCAGTCTAAATTTAAGTACACAGACACTTTCCCTTTCTGAAAACAAACACACCAATCTCCCAGTTATTTCAGGGTTATCAGTAAGGGCCGCGGTTGAACACGACTCCAGAAATATTTCCTGTTTTGCGACGTCTTCTTAAACGTCTCTTGGACCTCATGCCCCGAGCTGCAATAAAACCATTTGTCTCTGAGTGGCCTTTGAGGAAGCGGCAGTAAAAAGGTCAGACTTCCTATGATTCGATTTACAGCGGTTCACAAAAAGCAGAAAGTCGTGAAGGCAGTTCAAGCAGAAGAATACCCTTCAACACTAAAGGTGTATTTTATCAATATTGATTCTCAATTTGAGAATTGATGCCATGGTGCTCAAACAGAAAAAGGTGCCTTGCCTTCAAGAAGAGGAATTCAAGCATCTCAGGGTCTTGTCCAGGAGTGAAGGAAAGATGGTGCGTGAGATTGACAGGAGGATTGGTGCAGCGTGTGGAGTGAAGAAGGAGCAGAGTCAAAAGGAAAAGCTCTCGATTTACCAATCAATCTACGTTCCTTCCCTCACCAATGGTCATGCTGGGCTTGGGTAATGACGAGATTGCAGATACAAGCGGTCAAAATGGGCGACAAGTGGCTGGGCGCTCCTTTATAGGGGAAAGAGTTCAGTCACACGAGAGGAGCTCGGAGTAGAGCCACTGTTTCTCCACGTTGAGACGAGCCAGTCGAGGTGGCTCGTGCTTTCTTATACTCCAATGTGGTGTTGTTTGTTTTAGATGATAAAGATGGTTTTCATTTCATTTTTAATCATCTAAAAGAAGGACTACTACTACTTTTCAAGCGTTAAATTAAACATAAATTCAGTCATCTAAACCATGATACAGACTTTAAATTTTATACCTGGGAGTTTTAAAGTTTGCATGTCTTTAAAAAAAAACTATTGTGACATAATACATTTCTCAATATATTTACCACCGCTAAAGGCTAAACAGGGGACTGTCCATACTAAAAACACATTTGGTGATGATTTCCTTCATTATTCTCTCTGGAAAACAAAACCAAAGTGACAACACACGTCGTATACAGCGTCAATAAAGGAAATATTGGTGTTTTTGATGTGAATTGCCAATACTTGAGGTACAAACACTGCTGTTTCACTGTGTCATTATGAAGTAAAGGGAGGAGTTTATTTTAGGCTTTTACTTATTGCCTCACAGTTTGGAGCCTATTGTTTAAGGCACTGTGAGTTCTTGTTGTTGTGGAAAAGTCAATGACATTATAGAGAGACGTATTTTGTGCTAATGAAGAATATATTATTTCGCAATCCCAAGCGTGGTTCTCCCATATGCATATTTACCTGACATATTGTGCCTCCTCCACTCTACCCTCAGCTCTGGAATCACAGAATCAACAAGTCAACACACTGACAAAAGCGGCCGTTAATGCTGCGGTGCACATGCTGTATAGACGTATTAGATCTGCCAACGTTTTTGTCAGTTGTTCTTCAATTTGGATAAAACGTATTTAATTAAAATGTAAATGTGTAATGTGGATGGGTGTTGTTTGCCTGTCATAAGTTTCATGAAAAAAATTAGCAACTATACCAATAAATGTACCAAAGATTCCATCCACTATATTTGACCTGTAGCCAAAAGAAGGTGGAAAAAGGTTTTTGAATGAAAAAGAAAATACTGGGTGTTTTAACTTGAATGAACTTGACAACGTTCATCTTAAGCTAAGACCATCACAATGCCACAAACACATTTGAAACAGTAAAAAGGATGCTCCTAAACTTATGCTTCATATATGCAGAAAGAGCTCATGCACAGTCAAGGCCAGCACACACTACAGGATTTCACCCAAAAACATACAAACATCAATGTTTTTGTTTTTAATAACTTTTTAGACGGAATTATAAGCAATATTCTAAAGACTATGTACAGAGAACTGATCTGAGGAGAAAATACTATGGCAGCTCAAAGATTAAGTTAAATTTAAGATCTTTATGATCTATATTTGTAATGACATTTAGAAAAATTGAATGTCACCATAGCAGGTACTGCATGAAAAGTGTGATTTTCTTCACTATGCGGCACTGTAAATTGTCATGGAAATTTAGGGCAACGGCTTTTCACGGTAATTTGCGCATGTACAGTGGGGCAGAAAAGTATTTAGTCAGCCACCATTCGTGCAAGTTCTCCCACTTAAAATAATGACAGAGGTCTGTAATTTTCATCATAGGTACACTTCAACTGTGAGAGACACAATGTGATAAAAAAAATCCAGGAATTCACATTGTAGGATTTTTAAAGAATTTGATTTGTAAATTATGGTGGAAAATAAGTATTTGGTCACTTCAAACAAGGATGTCCTCCGGTTTGTTTTAGTACTATGCTGGCTAGCCAGGGTTAGCTAGAAGAGCTAACGCTAGTTAGCATCGACGATGCGAAAGTACCGTTTAATAATAAAATAAACGTATGGCACCTCCATGAACACATACTGCTGTTATATAACGTCTCTGGAAGGTCTCTGGACACAGACAGATTGCAGAGCTGCATTATTGGAGAAGAACTTTACACAAAAAGCTGCTAGCTTAACTCCGTTAGCATCAAAGTCCACCCGCTACTACCGCCACTTCCGGCGGGAGCTACCGCAGGCAGGAACTTCTGGTCTGAAGACCCCTGCCTCTGAAATTTATAGAATGTGCGTCTGGTGCGTGAGGCGTTAGCGTTCCAGCGTCGGAACACACCTTTAGCAGACCTTAAATGCACCTTTAGAAGACCTTAGATGTGTTATGAGCCTCAGGATGAGGGGGTGTCTAACCACACCTACAGGTTATAAATCTCCAATTCACGGCTAAGCTTTCATTCCCTTCTTTGGATCAACGTCAGGAAAACCTGCTAAATGAAGATACAGATGATGGGTGAGCCACCTTCTTTCTTTAGTTACTTGATTTACTGTCCCTACAATGTCATTGTGCTGCAGACGTTCTTCTGCCATTCTCAATGCATCGCTGGCTTTCCACTCCCGCCCTGTTCCTACTTTAATTCCTTACTGTTGCGTAACATCATTGCTAAACACACCTTTGCAGTCTTAAACTCCTCATAAACAGATTTTAATGTCAGTTGCAGCTTGCTTCCTGAACAGTACAGACAGATGGAGCAGAAGCTCTTAATTACAGACAACCATATTCTCAGAAAGCTGTTCAACTTCCTTTTCCAAAAGTAAAGGGGGACCTCATAAACCAGCAGGGGCCACGGGGGTCTAGGCCCACTCCATGCTAATATTCCTGGGCCTTGTACTTTTCTAGGAGGCCACTTTTCTCCAGGGATTTCATCCATGATTCTGTTTGATTAAGCATTTCCTTAACACTTGCTTTATCATTCAGTTCAGCCCTATATCACTTACCCAAACTTTTTACTGGCTTTTCAGTCGCAGTGGGGATGACCTCTTCACCTATCTTAAAACAAAAACGATCCTTAGAACAACCTCCTTTCAAACCGAGGCTTCTAGATTTGGCCGGCTTGAATTGCATTCTGGCGGCTTCAGTCAGTTTCACTAATCTTCCCATATCCATCTACCTTTCTGAACGGATCTTGATGTTATGGTAAGCCTTTAAAGTGGCATCAACAAGCTTTTTTGGAATTGTCCCATAAGCATTGGTTAAGTCCAACCACAAGACAGCCAGGTCATTGTATACAATGTAAGTTAATTCAAATGCAACTACCATCAACATAATATATATGAATATATAAGAATATGTAAGAACATTCGGTGTAATGAGAAAACATTGTCAATTGTGACAGCTTCATAGACTCTATAGTCTAAACCGCTGCCACTCACAGTGTTCCTCACTCCAGATAAAGGCCTGATGATGTTGGGAAAAGCTTTGTAGAGCTTCATGAACTTGTTAAAGCTCTGTAGAGCTTCATGAACTTGTTAAAGCTCTCTAGAGCTTCATAAACTTGTTAAAGCTCTGTAGAGCTTCATGAACTTGTTAAAGCTCTACTGAGTTTCATGAACTTGTAAAGGTCTCCCTAAATGCATTGAAATTGCTTTCACTTACAGGATACTTCCGGCTCAGTGAGGTTGGGAGGCTGGGAACACCTCAGCCTATCCACTCTTGCCACAAACTTACTCCTCAAGGTTATGGTTGTTTTTGGCCTTTGATTTGTAGAAAGTGAGTAAACCTCCAAAAGGCAATGGTTTCCCACTGCCAAGTGGGAGACAATCTTCAACAAAGTGAATTTTCTCCTCTAGTTCTAGTTCCTGGTTTGTCTCTGTGCCTTCACCAATCCAAACAAAGTTTTCTTGACACTCCTGCTCATTAAGAAATTGGCGGAAAAGTCTGGCATCACTGATGTAGAAGACCTCTCCAGTTTGGTTAACTGTACATCTAAGCCCTCCACCACCTGTGGGGAGAAAGTCTTCCGCAGTGATGACTTTTTCTTGTGGTGGAGGCTTGTTCACCTCTTGTCTCCTCTGTGGCTTTTCCCACCTGGCTGGATCCAGTAGCATACCCCTCCTGAATCCAATATGTCCAGGCCTCCTTATGGGCCAAACTTTAGGCTGTGAACATTCTTTCGTGCGTTTCAGATTTTGCTGACTGATAAATTGCCGGAAGAGTCTTGCATCACTGACATAAAATGACTCTCCAGTTTTGGAAGCGGTGCACTTGATGCCTCTACCACCGGCAGATACAATCTTTTCTACGTTCTGACTTTTCTTTTCAACTTCTGTCTGTTTGTCTTTGTGAAGCTTATGCTTAGCCGCTAGTAGCAGTAAGTCCTTATCTATTTGAACATACAGTACTTCATCTCCCTCTCTCTAAGCAGCTGCGAGATTTCAGCCTGGGAGGGATTTCCAAGAACATCCTCTGTTTGATTGTGTTCTAGTGACACATCTAACTCTGTTTCAATGCGTCTTTGCTTTTCTTGAACATTGGCATTTTCTGATGTATTCTGGGTAAGACAACTTGTCTCACCCTCTTGACTGAGAGGAGTCGGTTTAAGATGTGGTTGTGTCTCCCACATCTCCTCCTCGCTCGGTGGAGGCTGTCCAAACCTCTGACTTAGGTTGTTAAACCTGTCCATAAAAACATTTGTCCGTGCATTATCCCGCTGCATCCACTGGAGTCTCTCCAGAATGTGTTGCTGGTCTTTGTTCAATGCATCGAGTTGGGCCTGCACTAACGCGTTCTCCTTTAAAGCTAGCTGCTCTTGCAGGTTGCTCTCCCGAAGTGTTAGCTTTGCCTTCTCCTCTTCTAACTTATCTGAGAGATCCACGCTTTCTGCCAGCGCATTTTCTACGGATTTATCACAAATGGTTGCATGCTGTAAGGAAGTTATTTTGGCCTTCAAAGTGAAAATCCTGTTTTTCTGAAACTGGATTTGATTCTGTGAGGCCTCTCCCCTTTGGAACCACGCATCCTTTTGAAGCCATTGACTTCTACAAAACTCCAAGTGCAGTCTTCTTTCACAGAACTGCTCCTGCAGCTCGTATAAGTCTGGGCACTCGCCGGAATCTTCTTCCTGCTTTCTCTCCATAGACCGCAACAACCCTTCTGCATGGATCTGAAAGGATTGCTCCTTCAGGAACCAAGCCTCCTCAGACTCCTTCCATGGGAGGTCTCCTCCAAGATCCTCAGCAGTCAGACAGGTTTCAAGTTTTTCCTGCCAGAGCTGCTCTGATTCGGCATGCTCTCTTTCAGCCTTTCTCCACTTCAGGATCAAAGCCTGTATGAGCCTCTTATCTTGGTCCAGGTGTCCGTTGTCCATCACTGTTCACTTCCTGTTAGGTCAAATCCTCTGATAGCAGTGGTAGGCTGTCAGGGCCTGCAAGGCCTTCTCTTCTGGCCTAAGATATATCTGAATTAATCATTTTAATTATAATCATTATTTTTACATGTATTATTATTTTTTCTATTAATAGCTACTTCAAGAAGGGCCAAAGCCGACTCTACCTACTGAGGAGGCTCAGGTCTTTTGGAGTGCAGGGGCCACTCCTAAAGACCTTCTCTGACTCTGTGGTGGCATCAGCCTCTTGTACGGTGTGGTCTGCTGGAGGAGCAGCATCACAGAGAGGGACAGAAAGAAGCTGGACAAGGTCATCAGGAAGTCCAGCTAAGTCCTGGGCTGTTCCCTGGACACAGTGCAGCAGGTGGGGGACAGGAGGGTCCTGGACAAACTAACATCTATGCTGGACCATGACTGTCACCCCCTGCAGGACACTCTTGCCGCTTTTCCACAGTAACAATACGGTACGGTACGCTTCGGCGCAGTTATTTTGCATTTCCACTGGTAATAGTATCCGAGTTTGGGTTACTTTTTCCTTACACTGATTGGTCAACGAGTGTCGTCACTGGAAGCAACATCTGACCCTTTGGGAAAAACAACTCAACCACCATATTTTAAATCGGCTGCTCTGCTCCGGCTACATTAGGTCCTCCTCACTCCAGAGAAATGGAATCGCACAGAAAGCCTCAAAAGTCAGCGTCCTGGTCGGTAGATGAGGTCCACACGTTACTTAAACAAACTAAGTGTGGCTCTGTCTTTGGCAACCAGGCACCAGAAAAACACATCTTCATCATGACAACGAAATCTAAACAACTTCTTGTATTTTATGCACTGTTTTGTAATACAAAACTTGTATTGTTTGTTGTTTGTTTTATTTGTACAGTAGCTCAGATTCAGATTCATTTATTTGCCATTTGCAGTAAAACCACATTGGAAAAACTGTGCAAGACTACCCCGGTGTGCGCCAGACAGAGACGACACACACCAGAGCTCTTGCCACGGCGCCATCTTTCCGGCGCCACGCGACAAACAGTAGAATAAACAGCAGAGAGCAATAACATACAGGTTATAACAGACAGTTGGATAGAAAACATTGTGCTTTTTATAAACCACGGATTTTTTTTCGGGATGAGCACCTTCCGCAGCCGGCCCAATGTGGCTGTCAGAGGGGGGCGGGGTCAGGGAGGGGGTGAGCCGGAAACACAGTGAGGAGGGGAGGGGAGGGAGAGATCAGAGGGAGGCGGGGGGAGCGGGATCCAAGCTGGAACTGACTGAAAGAGTGTGAAATTGTTGTAGAGTCCAGATTTATTATGATGGCCTTGGCCCGAGGAATGTGAGATAAGAGAGGAGGGAAGACACAGCAAGGAGAAAAACACATCTTCCTGTAACGAGGGACAATGTTTTATGCATTTTAGCAGTCAAAAACAGGCAGATATTCTATTAAATCCAATTAAACCGAATTGCGGCGCCCTCAGACCCCGTACACAGGGGCCAATCCAAGCCGGGTCAGAGAGTTCAAGCGTGACAAACAATGTCATTCAATCTCAATTCCAGAGTTTTATGCCCATCAAGTGAACGAGCTGCGAGATCTTTGGTCAACTGTTCCACCAACACCACTCTCCGTTGTCCAGCCACGGCACTCTCAACCACGACTCGGTTAAGCTCCTTGTACATCCCATCAATTTTGTTGGCCAGCAGGTCGTGAATCTTGCGAACTGCCATGCCTCCGAATTTATGGTAGAATAGAACCGCTCCAAACCCAAACAGGAGGATCCCCACCACCAAAAAGCCAAAGATATATACGTCTTCCGAATCTTCAATGGACAGGGTCGACAGACAGAGGGGCTGCCACTTGTTCCAGCTGTCAAGCGTATAACCCGCTGGTGAAGTCCCGTCCGGGCACTCGGGCTCTCCAGACCCACGCTTACGTGTTGAAAAGATAGAATCAATTGCGTTGAGGGACCAATTTACCATTTCCATTCTTGCTAAAAGTTGTCTGTGGCAAAACTCCAGGAAAAAGACAAAAACAGGAGATAGCAAGCAGTCAGAAGCAGGAGCGTCTGAGACACGTCTTTGCTCGACGGAGGCGGAAGAGCTTTCTTGTACTGCAGTAGTGGTTGCTCGTACTACATTATATTCCAATGGGCTATTCCTTGTAATAAGAAAAAATAATAATGCATTGGTTTTATATAGCGCTTCTTTGGACACTCAAAGACGCTTTACATGTCATTATTCTTTCCCTCCATACACGGTGGTGATAAACTACTACTGTAGCCACAGCTGCCCTGGGGCACACTGACAGAAGCAAGACAACCAGTATGTGCCATCGGCCCCTCCGACCACCACCAACCATTCACACACACACCAGACTCATTGGGGGTAAAGTGTCTTGCCTAAGGACACAACGGCAGTTTGGCACTTTACAGCCGCAGCCACCACACTGTGGCTGGTGTTCCCAGAGGTTGTGTCTTGCCAAGGACACAACAACAGCAGACAGTGGGAATCGATGGTGAAAGTCGGGCTTGAACCCACGACCCTCTGGCTCAAAGGCTAATGCTCTACCAACTGAGCTACTGTCAAATTTTACATTCACTTAAAAATGTTAAATTTTGCAATCTTGAAAATTGACTTGGGCCATAAGGCTACAAAGCCAGAGTTTAAGGGCACAAAAAGAAAAACAGTTATTGGAAAACGAATTGACGAAGTGACAAAAATTGACAAAACTGAAAGCTCTCTTCATCAAAGTAAAAAACTTGTCTTTGGCTCTGTCCAATGTCAAACCCGTTTATTGATTTAAAGAAAAAGGGCTGTCATTTTTAAGGAAATAGATAATTGTCTCTATTGGCTGTTGCTGTTGCAGTATAATGCATTAGTTACAAATCATGACAAAAGAGAATCACGGTTGTTAAAGAGTATACAGTATGAAATGAGACAAATTATCCTTAGCGTGTTCCTGCCAACGCATTTCCTAAACAGCACTCCAAACTTCTTGAATGAGGCAGACTCTACACACAGAGAGGTGCTGACGGCCCAGAGTGGGACGTGCACAGGTCACAGTAACAATAGGAGCAGATCCGTTTACAGCAGACAGACAGGACAGCAGCTGGCACACGGGCACACAGCACGGCTCACATACCCCCAACACAACAGGAATGCTTTGTATAGAGACAACTGACTGGGATTCCCCACTTTAACCATTCCACAAAGTGCACACAATGTTATTTTCAACAGACAATCAATACAAAGACTGTGAGATTAAAATGTTTGCCAATCACAAACGCACAGACTGAAATATGCCTGCAAGTAATCATCAAACAACAAGAAGTAAAAGTCACTCAACCAAGAAAACTTGATTGCATTTTCCAAATTGGAAGCACATGAATGCCACAAAACATGCTCGAAAAAGAGACGATATAATGAGCTGGTCATCACAACAGGGTTACCACACACCACACACAACACAGTCCTTATCCCCAATTTACACCAAGTGTCTTCAGCGTGTCTCTGCCGCATAAACATGGACGTTCAGTTTCCGTCTAGGGATAGCTTTTGATGGTAATGATCCTCACATATTACTATGAACACGCAAGGCCTGGTGGTGGCGCTGTTTGGCTACAAAGGAAATGGCTAATCAGACGAGGAAGAAGTGGTTATGTTAGAAATGTTCACAAATCTCTTGTTTTTTGATGAGCGAGTTGCTTGGTGTAAATTGACTGTAATTCTAGCGTCAACCTGGCAACAAACAGCCTCATTTTTGCTTTGTTTTTAATTCCAGATGCCAGAGTTTCTGCCCCACTTTGCTCAGATAAAACCATATTTGATATGAACAGGATTTGGATGAGAATACGAAAATGACAGTCTTAAAACAAAGCAAAGGTCAGACAAATGGTAGTTACATTATAAGACAGACAAGACGACCTTTTGTGTTTTAAATAGTTCCCAGAGAAGATACAATAACTGCACGTAATCAATCTCCTATTTGTGCCATAGACGCACTGTACCACTGGGCGTTTGAAGAAAGGTGAAATAACCGCATTGTTTTAGTGTCGTTGGTCCCAGCAGCCCTCCCTGTCCCGGGGCACTGACCACATGGGACCTAATAGCTCTGTACTCACAGTTTGGGTTTGGGCTTCAGGGGCAGCGGGCCGTCCTTGGCTGGAGATGGAGACAACTTTGGGGAGGGGAGCAAGTCTGGCGCCGGTGGGACAGGAGCCTGGGTCTCTGCAGCAGGGTCAGTCTGAGGAGGAGATGGCGGAGGCGGGAGGGGCACTGCTGGCTCTCTATTAAGGGAAACAGTTGTATTTACTATGTTGCATTTAGACTGATTCAGCCAACTTTATTGTAACAGATGGCAATTAAAGCTGGGGTGCCTAACATTCAAAACACAAAAAACTGAGCGACCGTATGGAACACAATAGTTCCTTGTTGTCAACATAATGTATTTCTCTGGCCTCCGTCACATATTTAGATCAGACAGAAAAGTTGAAAAGAGAGAACCACCCACACTAAGCTTTCACTTTAGCAGCAGAGAATATGACCAGAATAAACAATAGTAATAATAGCAGCAGTAAAGTGAACCAGAGCAACAAGTATGAATACGTCCTTTAAGTGATGGGACGAGAAAGTGGGGACTAAATAACTGCCTGCGCAGGACAATGTAACACTTATTTAATGTTCTCCCCTCACCTCTGCTCTGGAGGAGATGGTGGACTTTGCCGTTGACCATTGGGGACAGTCTCTGACGACATGGGTGCAGGAGGGAGAGAGGACACACTGGGCCACAGATCCAGCTCTGTGACCAGGCCGGGCTGGGGCTGGGGCTGGGCCTGGGCTTTCGGGGGCAGCTCGAGGTGGGTGATTTCTGTGGGAGGCGGCGGAGGGGGGAACGGGGCAGAGTCCTCCAGACTTGAGGTCTCAGCGGACACCCCGTTACTGGAAGAGTCATCAGCTGCATAAGAGAAAAGGTGGTGAAGCAGTCAAGTGGCGTCACATACAGAATTACACTGGAATACATAATAACTTCAAAAGTATGACACCTGGGAAGTCAGACTGCAGGATTTATTGAAAATTGAATAAACATTGCAATTTTCATGGTCGCAATATGAATTTGAAATTACTTGGAAATAACGTCTCTTTAAAAGTTTGTTTGAGCCAAAATGCTTGACCAGTGATGAAAAAGGGTATTACTCAAACATGCATAAATCACTCTGAATAGAACTTTGAATGGGGAAATGCAAAGGGAAAACATGGTTAAACGTGCAATTTAAAATAATATGTCCTTTTTAACTTAATGATGGGCTGTGCTATCATGAATGTCAGCTCGGTATTGCTTGTATAGAAATGCCAACAACAACAGCAAGTTTTCTCTTTTTATTGTAACAACACACATTAAAATGAATACACAATCAACAAAAGGAAAGGAAAAAGTATTTTGTGGGATCCCCTAAAACATTTTTCCAGCATATTCAGGAACTGCAGGTCATTACACCCCATTACGCCCAGCTGAATCATCGAGAGCAGCAGCTGTGCTCGTTCACAATTCAGCCACACACATAAATAGAAGAGCACAGTGAAACAAGACTACAACTATTCAACTATAAAGGCACATTTTAAACAATATCCCATAAGCATAGAGCAGAGCAAATATTTGTAATTGACGCGTAAATACACTGCTGGCTATAATAGAGTCCTACAATAATCTGAACTATCTGAATTTTTCAAGCAGGAAGTCAAAGACGTTCGGTATAGTTAAGAAAAAAATATTTTGATCACACTGGAAAGAGAAAAGACCATGATCTGATAAAGGATATAATGGCAATGGACAATGACCTAGCTAACCCTGGTTCAGAACCGTTTGTCTCACACTCCCCATGTTGGGCTCTCTCTAGCTCTATGATCCTTGTGTTTTTATTTTGATAAAAACATTTAAAATTTAGATTCCAGCCATAAGGATAGACCAATCAGATGCTTTAATCCACACTCCTGCTTGCTTCAGCAACAATTGTCACAAGACATCTGCTCCTGTTATGGCGGTCGGCACTAGATCATATACGGAATCGGGACGAAACCGGAAGTAACAATCCTACTTTCGAATTAGTTTTAGGCGTTTTAGGCGTCTGAGTAAAATGGTTAAGATTAGGGTTAAGGCTGGGTTGGGGTTATTCAATGGGAATGGCTGGTTAAGTTTAGGCATGAGTTTGTTATATTTACTTCCGCTTCTGTCCCGCTTCCGTATATGATCTAGTGCTGATCCTGTTATGGCGCAAACGCAAAGCTAACCCTGTCGGAACAAAAGCCCATTTAAGGAAATTGGCTCCAGCTAGCTTATGTTCAAAATAACATCTTCAGCATTTGGCATACACAATGGGCAAACACTCCTAATAGACAGTCTATGATCCAGACAAAGATCTGGAAAAGGAGCTCTGGACACTGGAATCTGCTCCTGACAGGTTTCTCCAGCGGCAGTGAAGGATGGGTGGAATGTAACACACATTTCCCCAAGAACATCCCATCACTGGCAACACAACAGTGAAGCTTAAAAGTTAAAAGGAGGAAAGAAGGAAATTGTCCAATAAAGATTAACATGTCTTCTAAAAGCCTGAAAATCCATCTAATACCTTCCAGATGTATTATCCAGCCATTGTTATGAATGCCTTTTAAGATCCAGACAAGAAGTGACTGTTATCACTTCAAAAACACACTTGTCTGCGCAGCATTACTCTCCAAATAGGTTTAATGTAATTATTTTGATCAAATAACCCATGTTTGTTGTAACACAGTGCAGGCCTGAGTGGTTTGGGTGAGAGTTATGTCGTCTTGCACTTTTGAAGTGTATTTTTGTTTCATTTTTTTCTTTTGGTGCGGCTGACCTGCAGTGACAGAGAGTTGGGCCGAACAGTTGATGGAGCCATAAGGATTTGAGGCAGAGCAAGAGAAAACACCTCCATCTTCTGGAAAGGCCTCAGCTATGACCAGAGTGCAGATCTCCTCTAGAACAAAGATAAAGAGAGAGTTAATTATGTACGCAATAGAGATGGTTAGAGCAGTGTTATTCAACTACTGTGGATGTGTGAATGTTCAAGGCTAAATTAATGTGTTTCCAGAAGGTGTTCAAAGTCTTTTCAACTTTAAAAAACTAGATATAGTTTAAGAAATGAGAGTAAATTTATTTGACCAAAAGTTAGAAAATCACTGACTCAGAGATGTCTGTCGTTTCATGGGCCTCAGTTGTGGAACAATCTAATAGTCGATCGATTTCACAGTGACATTTGTTTACTGTTTTATTTGTTTTATTTTTGTCTTTTAATGTTGTTTTATGTCTGTATTTGTCTGTGCACACTGGAGACTTTTTGCTAATGTATTCCTATGTGTTTTTTTTTTTTACTGCAAATGGCAAATAAACTGAATCTGAATCAATCTCAGCAGAGAGATGGAAATGTGTAATTCTTTTTGTGTATTTAAGAAAAAACTGTCACAGTCGATCCTGGACGGATACCGAACTAAATGATTTTGTTGAACTTGTAACTAAAAGAATTTAATTCATTGAAATACGTTTTGGTAACTTATATTGTATCATGAACATGTAATGGGAGCACAAGTTTTTTTGCTTCTGCCCTAATAATAAATACATTGAAATAATAAATAAACTGAACTAAACTGGACGTTTGTGTGCGTGTTCGATGTGCCTTTGGAACTGATCTGATATCACCTCATTGGTCAAAATAATGTGAAAAGATGAGAATAACTTTGCCTTTGTCATGGTTTAGGTTTATTTCCTGTTTTGTAGTTTTTTCACCATGGTTTTTTGGTTGACACTAGATCATATACGGAATCGGGACAAACCGGAAGTAACAATCCTACTTTCGAATTCGTTTTAGACTAAAAAGTCATTAAGTGGTGACTGGTTAAGTTTTAGGCGTCTGATTAAGATGGTTAAGGTTAGGGTTAAGGCTACCTTCACTCCTTGTTCCATCACTGTCATTCAACGTCTGTTTTAGTTCTTGTCATCAGTCCCTGTTTGGTTACTTTTATTAACCTACTTTTACTTTTATTACTAGTTCTGCATTTTTGGGCTCATTTCATTTTACCCTCATGACAGACTTGTTCATAATGGCTGCAGATTTGGGTCAAAACGGTTGGAGAACACTGGGTTAGAGTTAGAAAGTAGATGTGTCTGATGATTTGAATACATTTTTAATTGACACATTAAAAAAAAAAATCTTCAGGGACATTGCCATAGACTAATATAAAGCACTAGAATACAATAGAAAAGTCATAAGAAAAATGCTTATTATTACAACGATAGATTCAATAATAGTAACTGTTGTGATAAACATTAAACACAAATATAGTATACCACTATAGTAATTGTACAAATGTTTGGAGAGTTTGTAACTGAATATTGTATAATTGTAACACACTTGAATATACTTTCCCCTTAACGCCCTAAACCCTTTTGTCTAATGACCACATCAATAAACTTAGTAGAATAACAGCCAAACACTATTCACTCTCGACCAATGGCCCTCAATAATATGTTTTTCTCTTTGTAAAATAAAAAAAAAATTCTGTAAAACCGTTAAGGGAAATTTCCCTCTCATTGAAGGAAAATATATAATTACGCTGCATTTGTTATGGAAAAGAACACGATTAATGTCTTGTAAACGGTTCATACTGAACTCATCATTATCTACTATATATCTATAATAAATACACAAAAGATCTTTAGCCTCGTCTTAGACCAATGATGTCATGTGAAAGTTAATCACGGTGACTCACATTGTCAGATAAATACAGACTCAGACACGTCGTCATTTAGAAATCAAAAGCTTTAACGTAAGATTTGTATGTTTCCACTTGAAACAGTAGTTATGTTTCCTAATTACTTCATTGGCCTCATACTCAGACTTTTGAACACAAACACTAACACTCTTTTTAACACAAAGCCAAACTAAAGTCGAATCATGCAGTATTTAGAATATAGGTTAATTTACTTTTCAAATGGAGTAGAGGGGGGTTGTTATGGATTATAATGGGTAATGATAGCCTGGAATGTTCCAAAGTCATTCATCTTATCTCTAAAGTTGTGTTGTCAAAGGTATACAAAATAAGATACTAATCAATGCTACGACTAGTATTGAAAAAAGATACTAACTTAAGGAAGTATAGTTACTACATAAAGTTACATAAACAGGATAAACATGTACATTTTTGTATGAATTTAAAACTATATTAGAAAAAAACCTGTATAAACAGAAACCCCATGAAAATATATAATTATAAGCAATTTATCAATAATCGCTGTGGTCGTAATTGGTATTGCGTATGACGTATCATATTGAGACCCACTTTAAAATGTAGTATTATGACAATACTACTACATGAAGAACAGTAAAATATGTTGTTTGTTTAGGTGTAAAAAAAAATAGATTAAAAAACTTAAAAAAATATTGAATGAAGGAACCGTCAAATCTAAATAACAGGTCCTAATCATTAGAAGGGAAGCCATCTAAAAGTAAAGATGCAACATATTCAATAAAATGGTCCCGTTATTGATAATGTAAGTGTTGAATGCAATATTGCGAAACATTCCCAGCATTCCCAGCCATACAAAAATCCACTTTTGAAAATAAAAAACCACACAGGTCTTATGTAATGTTTGATCTAATAGTGTATTTGGTTGGATCCACAGACATGACTACGACACCTTATATAAGCTGTAGCAGAGATTGTTTTGTCATGAGATCTTGAGTCAGTTTTTCTAGTCGCAGATGTTTTGGGACGTCGGCGTGACTCAACTTTACAGATCCAACACCTGAAATGACCCGGACAGACAGGCGGGACAGTATCAGTCAGTGCGAGTTACATGCACACTCAGGACTGCCATCTATCTTGTGATGTAATGCATTGACCAATCTGGCGTGACTTGCTGTTGTCATAACTTAGCGAAAGGATGACTATAAAGCTATCATCGAATTCATCAATATCTCTACACAGCAGCTAATAACGTTTTCAGATTTTGTAACAGATTGACTATGGGGGTGGGAATGAGCCTTTAAATTTATGAGAGCCCTTAGGAGGTGATGACATACCTGGTTCAGCTGCAGATCTGGGCTCTACACGGGAAGGAAAGGAAAAGAAAACAAACACATGTAAAGTCATTTGAATAAGTTGGATTCCCATTTAGTAACCATAACAACAGAAAATATGGCAAGGGCAGGCATTAGACATTGATACTACAATGGAAAGCTATGCATTTTCTAAGTACTAATTGGTGGCTGAGTGGATAGCACTCTCGCTTCTCAGTAGGAATGTCCTGGGTTTGAATCCTGGTCGGAACAGTATCTTTCTGAGTGGAGTTTGCATGTTCTCCCCGTGTCTGTGTAGATTTTCTTCGGGTGCTCCGGTTTCCCCTACCATTAAAAACACAAACAATAGGTAAAATCCTCCAGCCGTGCTAGTCCTGAGCAAGCCGAGCATCAATAACTGGAGATGGGTTCCCATCTCCAAGGTTTATTTATATAGCACATTTTACAGACCAAGGTCACCCAAAGCGCTTTACAATGTTCAGAGTTCAGATATTGTTCCAATCATTCCACACAAGGTGATGACGGAAGCGAGTCGCCGAACACACTGGCGCATCAGCCCCCAATTAACACCATCCATTCACTCTCTCATTTACATTCATACCTATTGTGCATGTTTTTAGTGGTAGGGGAAACCGGAGCACCCAGAGGAAACCTACGCAGACACGGGGAGAACATGTAAACTCCACTCAGAAAGGCCCTGTTCCGATTTGAACACAGGACCTTCTTGCTGAGAAGCGAGAGTGCTATCCACTCAGCCACCGTGCTGCCCACGGTGGCATCAGGATGGGTCATATGCAGAGGATGAATTGCCCTACAGCAGTGTCTCCCAAAGTGGGGTCCGCGGCCCCCTGGTGGGCCGCGAGGGTACTGCAGGGGGGCCGCGGGAGGTCATAAAAAATAATAATAAAAATATATAATTATTGAATGTTACATTTATAATGTTTTGTTTGTAATATTAAAATATTTGTGTTCATTATTTGACTTGAATAATCCACTGTAATCATTTTTGTATTACAATGTTTGTAGCAGAGGCTATTTCCCCAAAAAAAAAATAACCAGAAGAGCCTATTCTTAATGTTGTCTTCTTGGTTATTATTTTGGGGGGCCACGCAGACCCGTCAGATTTTTAAGGGGGCCTCGGTGTTACTGAGTTTGGGAATGGCTGCCCTACAGGATAAATAAAGTAAAGTGCAGTGCTGTAGTCTATACACTGTATATTTATACTCCACTTGCAAATTAGTCTTGGAACTCCATCTTGTATTTATTCATTGGCTCCTTAAATATAGTAAAAGTATTAAGACAATATATAGAACCAACTTTTTTGGAGGATGCGGAAGTCTGGGGAGTCCAGGATCTCCTCTCCCTCTCGGTACCATCGGACCTGCAGGGGTGGGCTTCCCCGGACCCTGCACTCCAGAACCACCACCTGACCCTCTGAAGCCTGGGCGTCCTGCAGCGTCTAAGTCATAAAAATAAAGATTTAGACTCATTAGAGCTGTACAAATGTAAAATCACAATCCCAGCATTTCTCAATCTTCATTGTCAACATGTGCATTCAAATTGAGAGACACAAATCATGGGCTGAGACTATGTATGAAGGTACTTGTTCTTTCTCCTAAACGGTTTGGAAGAGAGAACTGAGCCAGGGATAGACAGCATCAGTTGTCACGCCTCCTCAATCGTCTTTTGGTAAATTTAGCATTTTAAGTGTACAGTGTGTGCAAGAGAATATTTGCCTCTAAAAGAAGTCTACTGAAACAGGCTCTGCAGTTTAAGATAAGAGAAGAGAACCTTTGTAAATACAGGACAGTAGTAAGAACACAGGGAGCACACAAAATATACAATATAAGTAGCTGCTATGTTTCTTAGCAAGCTATACAGTGGGGCAAAAAAGTATTTAGCCACCGATTGTGCAAGGTCTCCCACTTAAAATAATGACAGTGGTCTGTAATTTTCATCATAGGTACACTTCAACTGTGAGAGACAGAATGTGAAAAAAAATATCCAGGAATTCACATTGTAGGATTTTTAAAGAATGTATTTGTAAATTATGGTGGAAAATAAGTATTTGGTCAATAACAGAAATTCAACTCAATGGAAGGAGGTTTTGGCTAAAAATCTCACGATACATGGCCCCATTCATTCTTTCCTTAACACGGATCAGTCGTCCTGTCCCCTTAGCAGAAAAACAGCCCCAAAGCATGACGTTTCCACCCCCATGCTTCACAGTAGGTATGGTGTTCTTGGGATGCAACTCAGTATTCTTCTTCCTCCAAACACGACGAGTTGAGTTTATACCAAACAGTTCTACTTTGGTTTCATCTGACCACATGACATTCTCCCAATCCTCTGCTGTATCATCCATGTGCTCTCTGGCAAACCTCAGACGGTCTGTGAGAGCTGTGTTTGAAGTGACCAAATACTTATTTTCCACTATAATTTACAAATAAATTCTTTAAAAATCCTACAATGTGAATTCCTGGATATTTTTTCACATTCTGTCTCTCACAGTTGAAGTGTACCTATGATGAAAATTACAGACCTCTGTCATTATTTTAAGTGGGAGAACTTGCACAATCGGTGGCTGACTAAATACTTTTTTGCCCCACTGTACATGCTTTAATATATCAATATATCTCTATCTATATATTAGTTTGATTGATGTGATGGGACTAAACACATGCACCCTCCTCGACTGTCTCCCCAGACATCCCGATCAGGGATATATTTGCTTTTGAAGTGAACCGAGTGTGTGAAGCTTAAACCAAATTTACTAGTGTGGTTGATACCCAATGCCTCCACTTGACACCCTGCTTAAAGGTATTTTTATACACTACAGACTTTATCTACATAACAGACCACTCAAGGACAAATGGGGGATTACACTTACTTTGTATAAATAGCTAAGCATAAAAAACAGTCCTGAGTACAGACTGAATGTCGATTTCCCCTTGTTCTATTTAGCTACAGCAACCAGCCATAAACCACAATACATCCTGACGGGACATCTGTCAGCGAGAGCCACTCCGAAGAGCCGTGTGTCTTTGTTTTTTGGGACATGTGTGTCTGCTCTCACATGTGCGGTGACATCACTTGCAGGCCCAACATCCTCTCATTCAGATGATTAAAGCGTGCAATGGTTTCGTAAAGAAGGCGGGTGGAGGGTGAAGACAAACAAATGGTCTTTCTGTAATGAGCTGGAAAATGATTTAGGATCTGACAGGCTGGATGAGAGCGAAAAGAAAGCTGACCCCGGTGGTTTTGGGCTGTTTGAAGCTGTGTCCGGGCCTGTCTCCCAGTCTGGACGTTTGCAGAGCTTTGGCCCGAGGCGCAGAGGGGAGAGAGAGGGAGGAGGATGTGTTTTATATGACCCCCACTGCTCTAAGCCACAAAGCTGCGTGCTGTGACGAGAATCTAAATGATGTGTCTGTAAAGTGCTATAAATGGTACTAAAGGCATTTCTACAACGGAGCAGTTACTGTATGTGTGAAGCATTATTACATTCTTTGGTCAAATTACTCTTTCATTTGAACAGGGACGATGCAAACAAAATCAAATCATTCAAAATGTAATTGCTCATTAGTTTCTAACTGTATTACCCAGGCAAGGTTCATTTCAACTCAATTTATTTGTGTACAGCCCTAAAACACAGCAGTCGTCTCAGTGGACTCCACAAAATTATCAATTTGCAAACGTGCAAAATGCAAGAAATAGATCCCACTGACAGTCGCAATTGTCCAAGGCAAAATGTTCAACGATTTGAGAAAAACATGGGAACTTGTGAAATAGATCTATAGACAAAACTAAAGAAGAGGGATGTACATTACAGTTCCTGAGACAAACGTGTTCTATATTTTTGTATTTACTGCTTGCTTTTATTTTTAAAACCATGATTTGTACAATGACAATATCTGAGGCTGATACATATTTTGAGCCTTACCTTTGTAAACACAGGGGGTCCGGACACGTCCACGCCGTACTGTGACGACACAGGGCTCTGCATCTATAACAAACACTGTCACTGTTTGCAACTCTGCCCAAAGTCACTCACTGTATAGTATTAGTGTTAGTGTAAGTATTAGTATTTGTATTAATGTTGTGTTACCCGAGGAGGGGGCACAGCCATGGCCTGGACCAGAGTGGTGCGACGGGACTGGACCTCTGTTGTTTTGGGCGAGGAGGACCGTATCGTCAGGGACATGGAAGTAGTCTTCTTCTGAACTCTGATCATAAACAAAGATGAGGACATATGTTGACATTAAGACAGAAAAAGAGAGGGTTCTTGTATCAAAGTAAATTGTCAGCAGCAATTAAGATGATATCAGTCTGGTCCTGGCTTCTAAGAGTAAACAAAAAGGCAACCAGGAAACTATGCAGAAATTTGCAACAAGATAAAAATCTAAATATTTGGCAAACATAGCTCTGGGTGGACACTGAAAGCACATAATTTAGAATAATGTAAATAAGCATTTGTTAACTGGAGTATACAGTTCATGAGCACATCGGTAAATAACAGAAGCCAGTTTTGTGTCTTTTTAACTGTTGTTTTAGCTTTCAGCTGAAGTTCACTTGTCAAAGAGAGAGGGTAAATTGGAAACAGGAGCAGGGAGACCATATTAACCCTGCTTTATGTAAACTGGAGCACTGGTTAATAGTTATTGGTCTTTGAGGAGCCTTTTTAAGGTGGCCGTTAAACATAAACATGCAACCCCCCACTGCGTTTAACCAGGTCATGTGGTCAGTTGTCAAAGGTCATTAGACACACGTACAGAGGCATCGTTCCGGATTTGGACTTTGACCCGCCCTCTCCCTCTGAATCTGACGACGAAGCTCCTGCAAAAAGGACACAGTTACGATTCAGAAAATGTAAACAGCACGCCTGTTTAGATCCCCACAAAGTACAGTCACAAAGCACTAGTGAAAACCGGATTCCTCGGCTACTATAGTCCAATTTAATTTGATTGAGAAAGACACATTTAGCTGTGACAGGATCAAAAAATTTCTACTCCGTTTACACTGGCATGTAACCACGTACACCGGACACTATTAAGACAGCTGCATTTAGGAGCACAGGGAAAAGCTAGCATCTTGCTGTATTGGTGTGTGTTTACAGAGAGACAAAAAATACATATTACAGTCTTAACTGGGCAAATAAACAATGCAAATATGAAATAAAACATAGCTTAATGATAGCGTATTTGGACACTATCATCCCTTGCTGCATGCATTATATTATATTGTTTTGTTGCACGAGTCAAAAGCAGGAAACATGGTGCATTTATTTAATTACTGGTGCTGCGTCATGTGTGAAAATCAAAGGCTCAGTGTAAACAAACTGTTGTGTGATTGTATTTGCCAAAAGGTGGCTTATACTGTATGTACGGTATGATAGCAATTGTATTTGAAATGAACCATTCCAAAGTTTGAGTGCATCACAGGGCTCCATCTTCTCAGTTGGGCGCACACAGAATATATGTTTTGCCGTACTCTGTATTTTTATGCTTTGGAAACGTACTTGTAGTAAACAAATCTCACAATAACCAGATCAAAGCAGATATGATGATCCTTATGTATGAACTTTTTGGAAAGCCACATAACCCACAGTGCACAGAGTTTACATCCAGCCCTGGAATCCTCTGACCTTCGATGTAGACCTCGGCTGAGGTGTTGTCTGCTCCCAGGCTGTTGGAGGCCACACAGGTGTAGCGGCCTGTGTCGTCCTCAAAGGCCTCGTTGATCACCAGCGTGTGCAGGTCTCCATCTCTCAGGATCTGGATGTCCGGGGAAGTGTGCAGCTCACGGCCCTCACAGAACCACCTGCGGAAGAGGACACAGCCTGTTAGATACCCAGACACCACTTTCAATCTTTAGGCTTGAAATATGAATGATACTGTAGGTTAAAGTGAAAAGAATATGGACTGACAGATAATTATGTGATTAGATTAGCTTTCATTGTTCTTTTAGGGAAATTCGTCATCTGCATTTGATCCAACCCTCAATGATGCTAAGCTTTGTCAATTATGTTACTGGCGAGTGTTTTGGGTTGTTGTTTTAATATGCTATAATTTTTTATTTTCTCATCTGTGACAAAATGCCTGATATCATGTTTTACAGAATGGGAAAGAGGGGAAAAAAAAGGTATCACTGACACTCCCACATTTCCAAACCACATTTAAAACACATTCCGCCTATTCACTGTGACCCTATATTCAATTGTTCATTTTTATATGCTTTAAACTGTTTTTTGCTTAGAACTTTCCACCTTTTGTATGGCAACCTTGAGTGCCATGGTGCCTATGGCGCCATAAAAAAATATATTGTTATTATTATGTTGATTAACTATACATTGAACAGAAAGTCCAGTCCAGACATTCATAACTACTTGTGCCTTACAAACTTCTTGGACCTCAACTTTCTTGCCGTTTGTCACAATGCTTCTTGTAAATGCTTTGAATAAAGAGCAAATGTGCTACAACGATGAGCTTTTGTTTGGCAAAGACTGTAAACTTATGTTAACTTTAGTTCAACTTTAGCTTCAAGTAGCTCTTTTGTTCTCATAGCCATGTATCTGAGGGATTCTTCTTGGCAAAAAAATCGTATTCCCGTAACAGTTAAAGTGCTCATCCATTTTTTCCAGTTATCATACCATATCATCACAAAGAATGATGTTTGCTATCTCATAAAATGTGTCAAACATGCAAGGACAATGATGACTTATTGAGACTTTTACTGGATGATGGAAGCATGCCAGCTCAGCACTCATCATTCAAGCCGTGACAACTCCCTGTGGCTTTCCCTGCATGTTTTAATTGTGTCGTATGTGTCAATCATCAGCAGTGAAAGGGGATTATGGGTAAAATACGACATGTACTTATTTTGGTCATTGTGTGGAACAACATGGCACCTGAGGCTGATTCAGATATCTGCAGTCCTCAAGACCACATCAAAACCCAGATCAAACACATAATGGCCCACAGATCAAGGGTTCAACATTCAGCACTGTGTAGAAAGTAGAATGACTCCAGGCTTCAACATGTAAGTACCTAGATTACCTCAAATGTTTTAATGATAAGTGCTGAGATATCATTGTTTTGGGCCAAATACAAGAATGTGTGATTATTTATTAAAACTAAGCAAAGGATATAAACATTAACTTATAAAGATGAAAATATTATTTGCAATTATTATTATTGGTGACATACAGTATCTGTCTGTAGACTGAGACATTGATACTGTATACCAGCATATAAAGAATCAGAATACTGTTTTATTGCCATGTGAGTAACAGCAAGTCTCAAACCAGGAAATTGCTTTGGCTCTCATATATAGTGTCATTCAGCCAACTGCAGCTACACTAAAACTTATTGTAAAGCTCAGAAACCCTGGAATTCAGTCGGTAACTTGACTTGTATTTGTTTATGATTGTGTCACAAAAGACCATATATGGCGCAAATGTAGCTGTGGTGTGAATCAATGCGAATGTAAAGTGGCCCTCTTACAACAAGGATTGGACACCCCTGGTTTATATCCTTGATTTTGGTCTGAACCGTGACTATTGCTACTAATAAATTGTGTTATTGAGTCTGCACATTTACCAAAGCGTTTCATGTATGCCTTACTGTATAAATGAGCATATGTACTGTCATGACATCTGACTGCTACATATTTCCATCTTCACCTTTCGACCTCCGTTGATAAGAAATAGGCAGAGATTCCCAAAATGAGCAGCTGTCCTCTCTCTCAGCTCCCAAACCAGAAATCCCTCCGCTCAGTAGTAAACAGTGTTGAAAATGTAAACTCTAAATCGATTGCTGCACTATTTATTTGATAGTGATAGTACTTAAAAGGTGACTTCAATTATAGCTTTCATTTTTAAAAGACTGCATATTTGGGACAATATTACCCTGTACTAGCATCATATTAAGTTTGTAATATATAAAATAATCCCTCAACTTGGCATAATGACCACCAGTACGTTTTGAGGGAGAAAAATAGTTAGACCAATGACAAGGGACCTCGTCTGTCGTTCAATGCATTTCGTCAAATCAGAAAGCTGTATTCTTATAACGTTTGACCAAAAACAACTAAAAATTGTCTTTAGTCTATAGTATCTGTAGTCCCAGACGTATATTAGTCAGTGTTTTTTTGATTTTCCAGACAGAGAAAAATGATGACACGTTTGATCGGCAGTGGTGAGAGGTGAGGTGTTCCCGCTCACCCCTAAGGCATAAGGTGGTGACTCCCGGACACTTCCTGTTTAAGTGAAAGTGCGGAAGCCTGGCGTGCTCTGTCACGCAGCCAGACGCAGACGTGTGTTCAGTGATAGGAAACAGTCCAAGACACGAGACCTTATCCAGCAGAGGCCTGTCAAGACTTCAAACACACGACCCAGACAAAGGCAAATAAAAAGACTGGATGTCTGAAGGATGTAAATGAGATTGCTATAACTTTATGGTAACTGTTTTTTGTAACGCTGTTGTCAAATGAGGATAAAGACATTCTTCTAGCAGAGACAAAAAACCATAAAATAAATAAGGTGAAAAATAAATTAATCCAAGTTTAGAAAAATTGGATTAACTTGGACTGTACATGTTACACATTTTATATCTTATAGCTCCCATTTGTGGAGTCGATTATGAAATGGTTTGACCTGGAATTTTTCATATGACTGTAAAAGTGAAAATAGTTCAAAGTAAAATGCAGTGTGGTCAGCTCTCCACAGTTCTGGGGCCTCGTTTCTAAAACTTCTCATTTGTTTTTTTACGAGTACTATCAATGTAAGATTGTGTGTGTACAAACAAAACCAGAAATTGCAAATCACATTCTGACTCTTCTCTGAACGCTCATACACAAAATGAATACTTTTTTGAGCAAACAATTTTAATTTCATGTCACAAACTTTACATGCAAAGGAGAGACTGTAGATACTGAGCTCTTTCAGTGAAATTCTTACTTATTTACTTTTCAGGCCAGTTAAATACGGGTCCTACCTCCATCTCTCACAGTTTATCTCTTTATATCCTGATTCGTCTCCAGCCATAAACCTCCCACTCATGTCTTCCAGTCTTTCAATATTTCAAAGCAAAAAAGTTTATTGTTGAGCAAACCAATATGTCCATGTGGTTTTGAGATCCTTTTGTGTGGATTACAGCCAAACAAGAGGAACAGGAAAACAACTGGACTGGGAGGCTGCCATGTCTGCTATGAAAGATCCTGGGAACTCATCTTGTTGAATCAGGCAATAATAGCCTGAAGTTGAATGAGAGTCGTATGTGAATAATTCAATACAAATTCTTTCAGAACCAGATGTAAATTCTTGGCCTGATCAGTAACTTGTACACAAATCAATACTTTTAGATTTATATTCTAATGGCGTAACAAAAAGCAAACAACAATTCACTCTCAGCCTTTTTCACTCCAAATGAAAGTCACAGTTAAAGTAACAGTTTGAGTTAAAAAAAAAGTGGTATTTTAGCGTTCCACACGGATCTATAAGTTAGCTTTTGTCTTCATTCTTGAGTTCTTTTCCATTCCCCATGTGTCTCATAGTTTTACCAGACTTCCTTCACTGAAGCTACAGACCCCGAGCAGCAGGAGCACGGGCGGAGGAAATGTAAAATAGCATCATTTGATGAAAGCCAGTTCTTTCTCCTCTGAGATTTGACGGAGCAGAAACTGAGAAGAGCAGACTGCAATAAAACCCATTTTAATCAACTTTAATGATCGCCTATTATGCCAAATTACTGAATAAATATATTTAAAGACAGTTTGTTACATTTAATTTGAGAGGAATGTGCTGAACACGCAGTTGTTACCCAAAGTAAGTTAGTGTATAGGCAGTAGAAGGAAAGAGCCGTAGTAATAGTCAAATAAAATGGCAACACAAGACTTTTATTTGTTTTAAGTTCAATGTGTATTCCTCCATATGGGATTATTTATTGTGTAAAAACTGTAAGCAAAGACTTGAGTCACACTGAGTCCAGAGGGAGAAGGAACTCAACCATCAATAGATCATTTGCACAGGAAGCAGTGCTAGAACATTTCTAATACCACCCATTTCCCTCTGATACAAAACAATTATGAAATATAACTAACAGGAATGTGCTGCGAACATACTCTGCATTTACACTGATACTTGGTACATCTACACACTGCCACACACAATACTTAATAATAATAATAAACTTCAGAAACAATGTTTACAATGGGCTGCAGAGAAAGCATAAAAAAATAATCAACAAAAACATTATGATAAAAATAAAGCAGGCAAAGGTGACACAACAAGAAAGACTAAACAAAGGCAAGACAATGTGTAACAATCAAATACAAAATGTAAAGATCTCGACAGACATTTAAAGGAAGGCCATTCATAAAAGCGGATTTTAACAAGTGATATAAAAAAGGTACTGATCGTGCGAGCCTCATCTTCTCTGGCAGATCGTTACGAGGAGCCCAGACAGAGAAGGTTTGATCACCCTTCGTCCGGAGCCTCGACCTTGGAACGGCCAATAGGGACCTGCCCAAGGATCTGAGGCTGCGGAGGTGGGGGCTCGTAGGGTTTAAAAGATCAGAAATGTGGCTTGGTGCCAGACCTAAACAAGTTTTAAAGGTAATCAGTTAAATAAATTCTAAAACGCACGGGGAGCCAGTGGAGGAATGCTAAAACAGGGGTAATGTTCTCTCGTCATTTATAACCAGAGAGAGGCTGCAGTAAAAAGCCTTGAGGCTGTGTACAGGTTAAGTAAAAGAGACAGAATATGTTGATGTAGTAATTATTGCGACAGAACTATTCACAATAATTCAACACAATATAACAG